AATTTAGGATTTGGTTGATTCATAAATATTAAAGGCCAAATTGTTACCTATGTTAAACAGCATAAAATAGCATCATCTGTTCTTATTTAAAGGAAGTACTTCAAATTTTTCGGACTGCTCTGCAGCTGCTGATGAGGCGATGTACCGAGGACAAAGCTAGAATCCAGCCTGGATAAGAATGGTTTTTTTGGATGCATGGCGAAAGGGAAAATGTACCGCAGAAATCAAGCATTTTTTCCTATTCATTTTTGGCATCATTGCTATCAGCTGAATAAAAAACAAGCAAAATCTTGAATATCGACGATTATTTATAACATACTCCATCGCTTCAATTGATGAAATAACCAAGATAAAGCAGACACCTATGTTACGAAATCCACCAACTCTTTCCACTTAAGGCACGCACCCAAACCGTCATTACACTAATGTCACACAAATTCATAATACGGCATGAGCCTGAAATGTATTGAAGTGCTTGGGTTTTCCAAAAATCAAATCTTTACCTGATGCCATCTTAGATTTGCAATGCCTTATAGCTCTGAATACCCTCACTCATAGATTCATAACTTGGTGTGAATCGTGCACCTGCTAACCTAATAGGTAATACTTTTTACAGTCACTTAGCCTTCATAACTTCCAGAGCAAAAAACCATGCAAACAACAAACTAGATTTCTCATTTCCTTCAGCCTTCTTATAAAGAATGTTGTTTTGGGCGGAGGTTGCACTGTGCTATTTTAAAATAAGGTGAAATAATATTTATTCTTTCTATAGTCTCCACAACCAAATGACTTCAACAGACACAGCGACGAGTTTATTTTGCCTTTAGATTCAAAACAGGTCGATATTTACTTGCTGCCAGATTTGTTGCATTGATACTCGTGTTATTTGAGCTCGTCTCTCCCTACAATTTATCCCTACCCCATTGGATAAGTATAATATCCACTTTCGATATCCTCCTGACTACCTTGCTTCTCCTTTCAGCCAACCCAGAGGAAGACGACACCGCGGCCGACGACCAGCAGCCCACTTGGCATCCACACATAATGCCCATGCATGTCTTGATGTTACATGCTAGCGACCAACTCGTCTGGAACCGCTTCGAGACCTCAGGCCTTGCATCAACATTCGTGGCAGTTCCCACGGCTCTAAAGATTGTTTCTCCGACAGCCATCACAACCGAAGGCCAAGCCTCATTAACGGACTCACCGCAGGTGAATATGACTATTCCAGAGACCTCTTAACCACTCGTGTCGAAAGCCCATAAGTCTATGGTTGTGCTACATACCATTCAGGCCCATAAGACTCAGTGAATAGTCTAAAGTTCATCTGATCTGAAATGAACATTGAAGAGAGAATTTGTTACCCTAGATCATAAAATCAGCCAATAATCAGGTTGTTAGTAATGAATTGAGAGAGGCTGCCTGGACTATGATTGGTTCACAATAGATTGAATGGCTGGCTTGATTTTTCATTTAAATTAACTGGACTGATCAGCCCAAGAGGTTATTCTCCAAAAGATCTGGCTGTACCTTTTACTTTGTCTACATATCATCCATAGTTCAGTGATATCCAAATCCAGAAAGGATAGATTCCAAGAAAAACACATTAGATCCTTGCCCACATGACCCTAGCACTATTGAGTTACAGAGAAAACCAAATTTTCACGGCAGAGCAGACCTCTTTCAGTAGACATTTTCATTCAGGAATTTTTCTTTAATGGGCAAGCATGTATTTAAAATTAGATTAAATGCTATTTGGGGGTACTATTGGTATTTACTCGTGTGTTAATTGAGATGAAATAGGAACATTTGCTCCGAATTTCATGTTTGAGATATAGCTTATAGGTGCTAGGATAGGCTAGCCTATAGGCTAACCTACTTGCTTCATAATTCTGCTCCTACGGTTGGTATCCCTCCAGGGTTGCTGAAGAACCCCGCACAAGATTCAAACATGTACCGACAGCGGATAATTGATAAGGCAAGTTTAAATGTTAAAACAAGTCTTCCCTTCAAGTTATCAGTTCATAACAAATGTTGTATTTACTCAACAGTCAATCAGTACAACTATGAATGCTAAAGTGCTTGTCTATTTAAAAGTTTCTATGCTTTATTAAATACGATTATGTCCATGGGTTTAAGTGAGTTTTCACGTCCGTTATTATAGACATGACTAGGATCTATGAGAGAGCACAAGTAAGTGGCTTAATTGAGGCTCCTATTGGATCTTAACTCTACTTCGACTCAAGCACAAAGACGGCCTAAGGTGCACATTAATCGTAATCTACCTACCTCAAGGGCTGGCCTATAATGTAGAATTATGATTCTACATGTTATATCTATATATATGATTGCTACTGTTTTTATCATAATTGAGAAACACTATAAAAAATACAGACCTTACTAAATTTAAAATAAGCTATTTTCGCAACTTGGTCAGGGCAACAGAGAGACCTCGTGGAAAATACCTAGTGATTGGTCTTTTTTCAGAGTATTCGCGATAATTTCAAACATCGGATTCTTGATATGGTCCATTTTCAGACGTTTCTCAGACATCGTAATCACTATCGTTAGTGTGAGTCACCATCTTTAGCACATATTACGAGTGTAGGCAATCCTATTGATCAATTTGCCTTCACTTATCACTTTGATAAATTGTAACTTGGTGCTAAAGATGACATCTCTTAGTGACGATATTGACTACGATGCCTGCTAAATGTCTGTAACTGTACCAAGTCAACAGTCTGATGCTGGAACTTTTTATGAATACTATGGCAGTGGACTCAGGACTAGGTACACTCCACAAAATCTCCCTGTTGCTCCTACAAAGTTGCGAAAACTAGGTGAAACCAACACTATGAAGCTAGGGGAGACTGAGGCCAAACCTAAAGCAGCACTAACTTGGTCTTCCTATCTATCATTAAACCATTTTCCCGTAAAAAGTCATGTAAATATTTAAAAATATTAAATAACATTCTGGTAACTTGAGCCTATTATACCAGCACAATTCACCTAATTTATACGTTCCCATTCTGTTCGTTGTAAGTTTTCTCATCTACTCATCCTGAACTTTTAGGCACTAGAAGAGGACATTATCAGCATTCGACGGACTTGGCTTAAGACTAAGCTTGACGAATTCCGGACTCATATGGCACCGAAGGCAGCAAAACAAATAGACGATGTGTACAGAGCCCGGTTGGAAGGTAATCAAGTCAAATGTCTATTAATCTGGTCTATATTGTTTGTACCACTCATAACAGAATAGATATTAATAAGCAAAGTTATGGATTTTGTTTAAAATAAACTGAAACTTCTTTCCATTCTCACTACGTCACTTTCAACTTTATTCATTAATTACATAAGCCTAGTTCCTTATATTCTTTACATTACATACTTTTGCCTTATTCTTCTATATTATCATGCACCTATTATAAACATTTATGTTTCACAAGAGGTTCGACTTTTGAGGGAAGCTGCAGAAAAGGCGATCTCAGAGCGCAATTTAGCCAGAATTGAACTCCAGGCTGCTGCTTTAGCTAACCTGGAAAGGAGGCGAAAGCTCTTAAGAAAGCGAAAAAAGCGGATACGAAAGCAACAGCAGCAAGAAAATGCTGAGCAAGTGGTAGCTGGGTCAAACGAGATTAACGATAATTTCACTCCGGCAGCAGCAGATAGCTTAACAGAACCCACCAGAAAACAGGGCCCACAGCTTGACGCTGAAGCTCAAGGGAAATTCAAGCAGCCGGAAAAAGCAGATGTTAACCGTTTAACCTCCGTATCTGCCACCTCTGGTATGCCTAATAATGGGTCTATATTAACTGCTCAAGACGATGAAATTGATGATGACGATATCGACACTGATGATGATTTAGAGGATGGCGAACTTGAGAAATTGGAAGAAGAGGAAGTTTTACAGTCTTTGCATTCCGAAAATGAGTTGTTAATCCAAAATGAAGACGACGAAGTGCTTGCATTCATGCCACCCGCGGTCGTAAAGGAACCTTATCCTGAGACACCGAAAGATGATGAAGAGAACGTACTTTCTTTTTTCGATGTACGGGAGTTGCACCCAGTAATCATTGGCATGGACAAAGACATGAGCAGAGTAAGTTCGCATCGACAAACTGTATTCATAGCCAAACACATATATAAATAATATTTATGGCCTCTTTACTTTATAATAGATAATGATATTAATTAATCCTGACGCGAATGAGATTTCACACCCAATTTGTGCAACTATAATGAAATGAGACAAATTGAATTTTATTTATCTATGGGGAAATTCAGCTTAGTTGAATAACGGATAGATAATATTATCCCTCAGTTAAATTCGACTAAATGAATAAATCGTCTTAAATGATTATTCAAAAGATTAGGTGATCTCATTACTAAGAAAGCAAAGGTAATGGGGGTGGTACGACTACTTGAATTTAGATCAGGTGAAATCTGATTTAAATGTTTAGATTAAATAGATGGGCAGAACAAAACCTTAAAGAATAACAGCTCATTTCCACTTGTAAATAGATAGCTGATTTTATTTGCCAAATTGAATAAAAATATTCATTTTTCCTTTTAAAAACTTCATGAATATCAGAAGGGGTTTTCCCTTCGCTGTCGTTTTGTCAGAAGGACCTCTGCTACAGCACTACAATTTCTCAGGCATTATAGTAGGCATCGTCAGCGAGTCGTGCTAGTCTTAGAAACCAACGTCAACTAGCCAAAGAGACAAGTGAAGTTCATCCCTAGACCAACTTTTGTCCTGAAATGCTTACCTATCCCATTAAACATTGACTTGATAAATTCCTAAACGTTTCGCCTGCAGCGTCAGTGATAGGCACCATCGTAAGAAAAGAGTCACAACTTATCAAAGTGAAAAGTGATACAAGTGTACAGAGTGATAAGCTGTAATTATATGCTTATGATAGCGCCTCTCACTGACGATGCCGACTACGATGCCGGCGAAATGTTTGTAAATGTATCAAGTCAATGGTCCAATGCTGGAAATCACGAATATTATGGCAGAGGAAACGGGACTAGGTACTTTCCACAAGATCTCCCTGACGCTCCGATCATGGTGCAAAAACAAGAGCTAATCAACACTATTAAGCTAAAGGAGACTGCGACCTAACAAAAGGCCACACCATCTTGGTCTTCATATCTATAACTTAATACTAATTCATCTTATCTCATTTTGTCTTGTGTAACTGGTAAATCTCGTGGACATGCCTTTACTTCACTGAACACTTGTATGGTCAAGTCCGTATTCTGAGAGTTAACTGTCTCTGATCTCCGCCCCATCTCCCTACTGAAATATTCTTTGAATTAGCTTCACACTTCTATCCATAATTCCAGGTTTCTAACTTACCTATTCCTTAATCCCGTTTATGCTAATCCCTAAACGCTCAAGCTGCTTGCTTGATTTAACCATACTTACGGTAAAACTTTTCCTTGATTTCCGATTGTTTCTTGAGGGGCTCTTTCTTGCGATTAATTTTTTTCAGTTAAAAATAATTCTTTTTGTAGGAATGCTTTCTTATCTACTCCGAGAATTCTCAAACAAAATATAACCTTTTTAGGGGATAATTGTTTTCTTCGTGATTATCTGGATATCTTAATATCCTTCGCAGTTTTTTGGCTAATTTTAAAAGAGGGCAAGCATATCCACATTTTGTCGTCTTTCCCGTTTCTGATTATATTTTTATAATTTCCTTGTTGCTATCTGCTTACTATAGACATTATAATTATTTGTATGACTTCTCTGAGGTATCTGTTACGTCAGACTTATAAATTATTCTTCCTAGAACTTTTTTTACGTTATTAATAAGCAAGTACTTGGAAGTCGTGGTGAGACTGAAAATTAAGTTTTATTTTGATGTGATTTTTTTCTGAGCGGTTTCATCTTGGAGTGAATTACCTATACATAGAAGTAATGTAGCCCCTCATCTTCCCTCAATTCCATTTTAAATGTGATTGTTACGCCAAGTTGGTTTACAAAGTCCCAGAATTCTTCTAGACCGAAATGCTAAATAGTCAGCAATGTACCACATGAACACTTTTGGCTGCATTGATAACTTCTCGAATTATTTTCATCATTTGTCCATGTATACATTTGCAAAAAGCCGTCCAATCTTGAGGCTGGAAATTATCATTAATACAAAAGCAAAGGACTTCGGACAAATAGCGCCCAGCTAGACCTCTCTAGCATCATGGTAAGAATATGAAAACGGAGCCAAATCACCTATATACCAGGAAAGGAGACCCCGATAAATATAGGGGCCACACCACTCTGGCCTTTAACCTTCGATTTAGCCTTGGATCCCATTTTTAACCGAGTAAACAATTTCAACCTCCCTCAATAAGCGAACATCTTCAAGATCAGTCAACTCACTTCGTTCCAGGTCTATATTTTATTCAAAATAAAATCATCTTATTGGAAAAATCTTAATGCATCCACTACGCAGACAAAAAGTTAATTACGTGTTGCTTCGAAAGTTCTACGTTATCTGTGCCCCGAATACTTGCTTTCAGTTCACTGCGAAGGCATGCTCAACTTATGATGGACTGCATACTGTGGTTTCTGCTAATCCCTGAATAAGTACTATAAATTTCCTGTCCTCGATTTTCGAATTTGAGGCTAAAACAAAGTAATGAGATGTATTCACCCTATTTCGTGTAAGGTGATGAAGGACTGGTAGTAGAATTTTCCCAC